TTTTTAATTCGTCTGCAATTCGTGTCTTTTGTCTGTATGCAATAGCAAGCTTACTGTATGTATGACTATAAACACCGCACGTGGCATCTCGTACATGTATATATATATATATATATATATATAACGTATAGTTTTTTTTAATATAAAACATGATTACTGTTCTTTATAATGCGTTTTTAAACTACACGTGAATGTTATATTTCATTTATATGGAATAATTCTAAAATAAAAGAGTTTTTCCATCAAATACAAACTAGTAGTTATAGTAACGTCATCAATAAATAATACAAATTAGTCTGTCAAAGTTCCGGATCTTCGAAGGTCAACCTTTGTATCAAACTTAATTAATGGTAAACATTTAAATGTTATATAGTTCAACTTCAAGTTAATCAAGTACACATAATTATATTTTGAAAACTTGGATATTTTTATGCGTTCAACATAATATCAATAAAATCGTAGGTGTCGGAGCAAACCTCAAACTCGAGGGAGGTAGGGGGCTTAAATGCCCCCCCCCCCGTAAGGATACTGTTTAGGGTCGTTTTTTAGAACGTTCTATAAAATCCTTTAACATATATGGAAAAATCATAGTAATTATAAGTTTTAATGGTTGTTTTCTGTGATTTGGTTCTGAAACTACAGATTCGCCTCCGGCTATGCCGCATATGAAAATATACTCGTTAATGTGAGTAATACTAAAAGTCAAGATTCACCCCTCTCCCACTCAAAAGGATGGCAGTAGTTAGCGATATGATACTGGTAAAAAATTGAAAGATATACGAAGTTGTCACTTAAAATTGTGACACAAAAACAAGGTTCAGGTCGTGAAGAGATGTCGCATAAAAACTGTAAAATATTTCCATTAATAGCTACCTACTCTGGCAAAGATATTTCATAAACAATTTACGTAACGTAAAAAGTCACGTGTCTCGTTACAACTTACAAATACAAGTATAACATTACAAGACCCTGAAGCTGTAGCAATCGTGATTAAAAAACAAACGTTTTAATTCCCGTTATCACTTCGTAATAAAGTCCAACGAGGCTTTATCTTCATCGATTAAAGTACAAATATTACAGACAACATTATCAAAAAAAAAAAAAAAGAACAGTCATGGGGGCAACGACCGGCCAGTGTGCACGTCGACACAGTTGTACGTTTGACCTTGACGGAAAAGCAAAGAGCGTGTTAATAACATGGGCTAACATTAGTTAGAAAGTATTGTTCTTGCAAATAAATTTAAGACCTAAAAAAATAGTTTATCAAAAATGTTATGTTGCTAAATGAACCATTACATGTGACAACGACTACTATATAACTTAAGTCAACTATCCTAACCTATCTACGATTTCGCAAGACACTAAGTCATTTTTTTTTCCACTTGTCAATTTGGTCTGCTACTACTGTTTTCTAGAGACGTACCTTTATGTTTTTTAGTGACGTGTAATTTCAAAGAATAAACGTGCGTGTAAGTGAATATTTTTGTTGTAAAACCCTCAAACACAAAATATCAGTATTAACTATTATTAGTATGTCTCCGAGTTTCAACTGACGCGCCTTCTCTACACGTACTCGTAGACCTAAACCTGAATTCTCTGATTCAGGACCGTTATATTACTTTTATTTTTTAATTTTAGTACTTGTGATAGTTGTGTAAACTTAAAAACACGGTTAAACTCCAAATCAAACATAATAAACAGTTAAGTAACTTAATTACATTTATATTTTTAACACTAGCATTTTTTATTCAGTCCTTTACAATAACAGTTAGAGTTTTCAACTTTCAAAAAGAAGAGTGTATAACTATAATAATACTTCAACATTATCATTATGTCCGCCATCACCAATGCCGATGACGCGTTTCGCTCAATACCGGCTTGGACAAAACAAGCGCAGTAATGATCAGATAGGAACACTATTTATAAAAACATTTGTTAGACAACAATTGTTACGGTTATGAACGTCTTTTCTATGTTACTTACCTAACAGCCAGGTACACCGAAGTGAAAACAAGCAAAACAGTTATCATTTTCAAAACTGAAAATTGTTACTTATTAATTATATTATCGCAATTAAACGTATTACAAACCCTTTTTTACGCATAAATATTTCACATATATTTATTTTAGCAACGTTTTACACTCCAATGCTACACTAGCACAAGTTTAACCGGGTGAGAACAGGCACATTTCATCCGACATAATTCAGTGCAAGTCGTAATATACTCTCCAGCACCCAACGCCACGTGCTGCCTTACATGTACAGTTAAAAAAAAAAAAACAGCCGTAGAACAACAGCTCGTATACCAGTTGTGCTCTGTTATTGGTTGAGCAGAGCATCCAATGAATGCTAAAACCGCTAGCACGTGACCACCTAGACAACTAACATACAACAAAAATAATTTATTTATTTCTTAGTTCAATATATTATCGTAGATAAAAATGGCAATCTACATTCTAAATTTCATTAAAATTAGACTGTATTAATAATTTATGGACGACTGCGACAAAAACCAACATATCCTACCTGATGATGACAAAATCTTGTCGAAACGTTGTACATTTGCTGTTATGTTAAACTTATATTAAAGTTTTTCTTCATTACCCATTCAAGCCGTCTCCAGCCATTATTACTTGACTGAAGTTCTATGTTAAAACTACATACATGTGCATAAATTAAAATTTTAAAAAGTTATATAGTATTATTAAACAAGGAGTAGCACATCCATGGTATATCTGTATGCCAAAGTTACAGGTTAGTTAACTATATTATAGTTTTATTGTTTTGGTCGGAAGTGTTCGCATTATTAAAACAGATATAAGTAATGGAAAACTACATTTACGGAATATGATACGGAACACAATATAGCATAACAGGCACTACGAAAAAGTGACTTTCGTTATCTTAGATTTTAAATGCTAATTACAAAATGATCTAAGAATGCCCTGATGCGGGACTCGTTCTTCACCCAGCCATAGTTTCGTTATACATACCCAGGCTTTACAAGAAGCACAAAGATACCCCTTTCAACAAGTCAATTATATGTAGTCGCTATAATAAATAACTATAATAACTTAAATCCTAATTTAATCTTTTTTTCATTAACTCTCCATCTTGATTTTGAATCCTATACTTAACTGCATAAAGTCTACAATTATCATACCACTGATGTGTGACAAAAACAGATCTATTATACAAGCCAATGATCCGGTTCACAAAGTAATATCGGTAAAAATGTTTTATTTTTCGTACTTTCTTTAGTGAAAAAAAAAAAAAAAGACGCAATACGCTTTATAATTAATATTAGAATAAAGATCACTATTGGATCCAAATTTGGCCAAAAGGGGGCATTCCAAAAATTTTCGGTCGGTAAGTGGCGTTTTAATACTTCTCTTATATGATGTTGATACAAGTTTAAGAATTAAAGTTTAAACAATAATGTTTCACATTTAATGTACTCACAGGATTGAATGAGCACAGCAGTGCAATACGTTTTTCTTATTATTTGTGCATTTATTACGACAAGAATGTGTAATTTTAGTAATTCAGTGGTGAGTATTTAAGTTTGCTTATTAATAATAAGATAAGTTTATGGAAAAAGCAATACAAACATGTCTCACACCATATTTATCAAGTCAATAATTAATAATAAAAGACTCCTAAAAATGAATCTTATTATCCAGGTGGCGCTCAAATTACCCTAAATTGAAAATTTCCATTTTCTTCTTAATTATTCATACATATGACTTAAATATCAAGATATAGATATGAATACGATGAAACTTTTAGAATAGCAAAATCAATATTATAACTTTCTTTCACGTTTTTTTTTTTTATAAAATGTTTCAAAGGGGAAAAATATTTTCCCTCCCATCTGGATGCGCTTACGATTATATATGTCGAATATTTTCTCATTTTAGGCTTAAGCCACCCTTGAAAACCTTGTTTAAAAGACATACAAGTGTATTTTAGTTGACAGATTTAGCTTTATTTGCAAGACGACAAAATATATGTTATGAAGGTATGTCTGTAATGCTTTGATATATGAGCCGAATACGTAAAAACTACTGAATTTATATGGGAGCATAACACAAAGTGACATCTATTGAGAATTTTAGAAAACATTAATCAGCATAACTAACTGTAATACCTATTTAGTTTTGCTGGTTCGTAGTTTTAACTAAAACAGGAAACTGAGACGATTGTCTACTACATGGTTATTATAGTTTTATTTATTTATGTTTGAAAAGTGTGATCACGATTTGGTTCTTTTTCAGGTGACTGAAGCAATAAAATGAAAGATCAAAGTATATCATAATTCAAAATGCTGCAAAGAAAACGTTTTGTTAAACATTCAAGAAATTATGGGGGAGGAATGGTGTAAATAAATTATCAATCCTAATTATTGTACTCCAGAAAATATATTCTGAGAAATATTTTGGCCACTTGGAGAGCTTAATAGGGAGTATAATAATGTAAGGAAGTTAATAGGGAGTATAATAATGTAAGGAAGTTGTCCAAACATTTGAAGCATAATATTAAGAACTTGCTTCAGAAAAAATAAGCGAATAAGAAAAAAGCCAGATTCTTAATTTTTGTCTTCATTAACTCGTTTTTTTAATTTTTCTGTTAAGTTTTGGCATTTGTAGAATTTTTCTTTTTTTGGTTAATATCCTTATAAGTTTTACTGTTTTAGTGGCTTTTTATTTTTTAAAATTTTTATTATCCCTTCGCATAAGAAAGACAGATTATCTTTGTTTTGTTGTTAGATAATACAAGTATTCTTAACTTCTTAAACCGGAGTAGACACTGCCACCATCTGGCCAATAATCCCGATTTACCCATCTGACAGTGACACCAAATGTTCAATGGGGAGAGGTTTGAGGCTATTTACTCAACAATGTTACATATGGGTACCCCTGATGCTGAAGTGAAAAACAAGATTAAGAAAATTGAAGTTTTATAAGGTATGGTAATAATTATTAGGAAATCATAAAAATAATTCTGACAGAACATACAAAAAATTTACAGGTTTAAAGAGTTAAAATAATCAGCTCTTTTAAGCATTTTAATATCAGTAAGTTTTGAAACATTATTATCCATTAAGAAATCCATAAATAATGAATAACAAAAATCCTAAAACAAGTTCATTCGAGACTTTCTAATCTGAGAAAATTTCATTTATCATCCTCCTTTTTTTTCTACCATTAAGTCGATGTTTCTATTCCTCTCTTTAGTTTTTCACCAGTTTTATAAAAATACAACTTACTGATTGATCTTTTATGAAGCTTTACCAAAGGCTTTCTTAAAGTCATGACACATCCCATTAATCAGGGTGCTTTCCTCCAAAAGAGTTGGTGAAGTATTAAAATCCTTTTCTAACATCATATTGAGAAATGTTGATTAAATTCCAACTTTCCAAATGTTTTTCTAAATTAATTCTGGTGATAAATTCTGACAACTTACTGAAAACAGAGAACAACCTAATAGATATATTTACGTATTGAACCTCTGCTGACTCCCTTTTTAAAGATAAGGATTGCTCTATCCTCGTGAATTTTTTAGTGTCAAAAGATTTAAAAAAATAATAGTTGCAACACTGACTTATTTGACTAAGTTTTTTCAAGGTTTTAGGATAAATCTAGCCTGAACCAAGAGTTTTATTCTCAGGAAATTAACAAAACTTTATTGAAAGAACTTCTTTCTTAGTCTTCACAGAATTTATGAAAAATCCTTTACACCTTGAAAAAAAAACTGATCAAATGGGTTACTCTCCTACCTCATCAGTAAAAACATAGCACTTAAACCTTGTTTTCTTCCTCCATAATAAAGTTCCTTTTGAACCTCTTACTTAACTCCTGTTTTCTTGTTTTAACACAAGCTTAGAATTATTCAAAACAAATTTAGTACTTTGTGCCAAAAAACTTAGAAATCTGTCTTAGCCTAAACATCTTGTTAATTTGTTTGTTTGTTTGTTTTGAATTTCGCGCAAAGCTACATGAGGGCTATCTGCACTAGCCGTCTCTAATTTGGCAGTGTAAGACTAGAGGGAAGGCAGCTAGTCATCACCACCCACTGCCAACTCTTGGGCTACTCTTTTACCAACGAATAGTGGGATTGACCGTCACTTATAACGCCCCACGACTGGAAAGGGTGAGCATGTTTGGTGTGATGGGGATTCGAACCCGCGACCCTCAGATTGAGAGTTGAGCACCCTAACCACCTGGCCATGCCGAGCCACCTTGTTCATTTTGATAATTGTTAACATCCTACATTCTACTAGTACTAAGTTTCAAGTTTTTGTAAACTAGGAATTTTTCAATTATTAATAATTTAATTACTTAAAAAATTCATTTAGGAAAATATTTCCATTTTGAATCTCTTGAATAAAATAACAGAAATATCCCATGATATTAATGTCCTTCTCATCTAGATAAGACACCCACTCTTTCTCTATACAAATACCTTGCAGGTTTTGAAGGTAAGATTTATAAAATCAGTGACAAAACAATGATTAACTCAACAAAAGGTTTCAATTATTATCAGAAATAATAATGTGACAACTGTAAAAACTTTTCTAACCAAAAATTTCTAGTAAGGCTAAATAACAACAATTTCTCTTGAGAAGAAGGGTTAACAAAATCCAATCCCATAAATTTAATCCACTAATAATACATCTGCTTTTATCAAGGTATAGCAAATCTGTCTGCTCATACTTCTATCAGTTCTATGATCTAATCAGGAGAGTTGATATATATATATGGAGAATACTAATAAGCATCTTTTGGGTTTGTTTTCAATAAGGAACTCAAAACATATAGCACACATACATTTTTGATATCATTTCTAATGCAAGTATAATTGAGATCCTGAATATTTACACCCTTTAGTTTGATAAATTTCTAATGTAACAAACAACAAATACTGGCTTGTATTCTAAGATTAAGCATGGCCAAGATACATTTCAGTTTATATAAGAATAAACAAGTTTCTTACCTTAATAACATGGACATAAAGGTTATTTTTGTAATTATTTTCTGTAGAAAAAACATTTAGGGAACGTTAGGCTTAGTAATGGTAGTTCTAGTAGCCTATACTACAATTGTATATTTAAATTATAGTAGTGTAAATATCTTATATTTTCAATTATCACAGAATGGACTACCCAACTAATTTAAGAAGTAGAAGTTATGAAAGTAAATTTTGTACAATGGCCACATTTGTCATTTCC